ACACACACACACACACACACACACACACACACACACACACACACACACAGCAGTGCTGATTGGGGACCTCAGCACAAGTATCTTCTGGGAGCTTGTTAAAAATGCCAAGTTTGCTCTGCCCACCCCATCCTTCCCAGTTTTGCTCAATTAGATTCTGTAGAGCAGAACATGAAAACCATTTTAATATGCACTCTTGGTATTCAGGTATATTAAAATTTCAGAAGCATTTTAAACTCTCTGCAATAGCTAGTACCCTCAGGAGATGATCCTAGAATGCCAGGATTCAGAGGCTTTTGGCTAGGTTTCTTCTCTAAGTAGTCCCGTATCTCTGCACTGCTGCAAGGCCAAACCAAAGATCAGGGAGACTTCCTATAAACAGGTGTGGAGGGTTAGATCCATGCATCTCCCAAGAAAGAGTCTTAACCCTGCGTCTTCCTCATGTGCCTAACAGAAGCCCTCTGGGATAACTTGCTCCATTGGCTGGCTGAGGAACTCTCAGAAGAAAATGCTGAATCGCTTTCCTCAACTCTCCCTCTGCGCCGTAGCACCATTCAGCTCATCAAACTCAAGAATCCTGATGATCTCACAGAACAGATCCATGAGTTTCTTTGTTTCTGGAAAAAATCGCTTCCAACTTTCACTGACAAACTTCGCCTCCTGGCTCGACATCTCTGCAAGATTGGCAGGACTGATCTTGCAGAAGAGCTCAAATTCAAGTGGGAAAATAAAGTGTTCACTGCACCACAGGAGCGCTTTGATGTAGCAGCTGAGTAAAAGCCTGATTACTCTTCCTTTATGCCTAGGAAAAGGCACTTGGTAGATTTTTAAGATTGTTTGTGTTAACATTTTCCTAGAAGTTTCCAAATTCTATTATTTGAAGTCAGTCTATTTAATGATGTGCTATTGAGAAATCAGATGAGACAAACGGAGAAGCACTGATTGGACAACAGAAGGCATTCCTGGGTATGAGCACTTCTCTGTGGTTGAGTGATTATGTTTTGCAACCATGACTGTCTTGAGTATGCCTTCACTTAATAGCATTTGCAATTGAGTTTGACTTTTTTATATTTTAAAAGCCAAGTATGAAGAAAAGATCTGATATATGTAATTACTTATTAATCGCTATCTACATAAAGTTAAATGAGTTTTCTATGCAAATGTTAACCCAAAAATACCTGAGATAGTTCTCCATCAATTTAGAAAGATTATTTTGCTAAGGGTAAGGACAGGCCCATAACACAGCCTCAGAAGATCCTGATGACATGTGCCCAAAGTGGTTGAGGTACAGTTTGCTTTTACGCATTTTAGGGAGGCATAATCCATCAATCAATACATGTAAGATGTACATTGGTTCAATCTGGAAATGTAGAACAACTCCAAGATGGGACTTCCAGGTCATAGGTAGATTAAAAGATTCCTGATCGGCAATTGATTGAAATAGCTAATTATCTAAAGACCTTAAATCCATAAGAGGGAAATGTCAGGGCTGTGATAAGGAGTTATGGAAACCAAAGTTTTACCATGCAGATGAAGCCTCCAGGTAGCAGGCTTCAGAGAGAATAGACTGTAAATATTTCTTATCAGACTTAAGGTCTGTTGATGTTTATGCTGGTCAGCTTCTCCTGAATTCCAAAAAAGAGGAGTTTTTCAGGATAATTTTGGACTGCCCTTAGCTGACAGGAGAGGCTTGTTCAGATAGTTGGGGGGCTTAGAATTTTGTTTTTGGTCTACTCAGACAACCAATTCAAGTTACATAGTTACGATGGAGCCTACAGTAAAGAATACACAATAAATTGGGCTGAGAAACTTGATGTCAGTGATAATAAGTCACATAAAAAAACTTTTCTAAGCTCGAAATAAATTAAAAATAGAATAACGCTTCAGCCATTTACTGGCACAAACTTTTCCTTTATAAAAATGAAACTTGGAAGAGAGAAAATTCCATATTTTGTTATTAGTGAAATGAAACAATACAGAGAAAACATGTTATCAGTGAAATAATTCGAGGCCTAGTTCTCCCACTTAGGAAGAAAACCTGGTTTAAAATTAATTAACAGAAGCCATATTACATAAGCTCTACATATACACCATTAAAAACAAACAAAACATCTGCAAATAGAACACTAAACTGAAAGAAAAAATAAAACTTATCTAAACCCCTCTTTCTATTGATAAGCCCTATTAATGTTTAGGATAAGCTTTGAGCTTTTGGAAAATCTAAAGCACTTTAGCTCTCTGAAGCAGTTTGATAGAAATGGGACATTGAACTAGTTTTACTGACTCATTAATGCAAAATCATTAGGTCCTTGGCTTGAAAACATCAGTAGCAATTAGTTTCAGTTATTGAATACCTAGGAATTAATTAAGTTATATTAAGAAATTAAATGTTTGGTTCTCAAATTTAAATGCAAGATTTTCTTCCACAAATTAGCCAGGGATTTAGGTATCTATTTGGTTATATATTGAAAAAGGTGATCCCAATTTTCAAACATATTCCCATAAAGGAACATTTTGTTAGTCAAGATTTTTTTTACATGTACTAAAAAGGTACAATATATATTTTCATGTATTCTTGGAGCAAAGAAAACAGACTAAAATATTCATTGTTGTCCTGATTACAATCAAATAAAAAAGTAAAGAGAATGAAATTTGCCTCTTATCCTGTCACTAGAGGTTACTATTAACATTTTTGCATAATATCTCCAGTTTTTCTGTTTTCTGGAAGAAAACATTTCTATTGCTATTTCTATGTGTATAGTTTTATCTAAGCACACTCACATACGTGTTCACCTGCAAACACAGGTGAAATAAAGCCTTGAAAATAAAGCCTCCTTTCATTACTCTAATGTGAGTGTATCACTGTATTTCTTACTGAGACCCTGATCAATACCTCTCTGCACACCTTTCTGAAGCTCCTAGTAACTTATACATATATTTTTTTTTTCTCAGAATGGGAGTCATATATATACCATTTTAAAATTACTGTCTTACTAAATTATGAGTTTTTAACGTCTTTGAATGTTGTAATAACTGCATAATATCCTATTTCATAACCATAGCAGAATTAATTTTAGTATGATAAAGTTTCTGAAAATGTTTAAAATGAAATTATGGAGCATATATTATTTTATGTTTGACTTTGTATTCAAATTTATGTTGCTGAAATTCATCCATGTTACTGTGTGTAGCAACAGTTCATTCTCATTAATATATAATGTTCTATTATGTGCATATGTTAAAAATTTCATATCTATTAGACTGTAGTTCCATATATTCCTAAGACCAAAATGATGAGCAAATATGCATGTCTCCTCACACACATTCTGGACACACACCTCTCACAAATGCACCCTCAAACACACAGGCCTACCCTTTATCTACAGTTTCACATTAACCTGTACACTTCACATACACTGTCACAAACACACTCCTGCTGCACACCCTATTCCAACTCCCCACCGAAATACACCTATTCACATATGTAAATACATGTGCACACACACACACCCCCCTCACACACATATACAGTTTCAGATCCTCTCATACACTCTCACATGCACTCTCACAAATGTCTTCGTTCACATATACCCCACCTTCACATTTCATGTACACATACACTCATTAATATGCCTCCCCCACAGACACATGCACACACAGACCCAACATCTCACTTTACCTATACAACCTCACCTACACACATACAATCTCATTAAAGCACTCCCTCTCACACCCCTCTCACCTCTCTTTCTCTCTCACACACATACACTCACATACATTCACTCACAGGCACATATATATATATATCGTCACATACACAGATATATTTTTCCCCAGAATTTAAAAAAAATGCTGTACATATTATTGTTATAGTCAAGCAATATAAAGGTATATAAAGAAAACAATTGATCATCCCTTCAGCATCTCCTTCTCTTAAAATAATCCAGGAAATCAATCCCATGTGTAATCTGTGCCACTTGGATTAAGACCTGCTTCCGAACACCTTATCAATATGGGTATTGTAGCCACACCTACACCCTTGTGTACCCATTTCTCTGTCTGGTGGTCTGACCTGTATGGCTCAGAGATGCCTTGCTGGCTTTTGATAATGGGAAGCCCCTGCAGAAGATAGGGAGGAGGAAGGAGAGTGAATTATACCATTTCCCTCTGCGCTCATCTTTCCCTGTCCCGAAATCACTGCTCCTCTCTAGAAGGCCACCTCTAAGCAACTGTCTTGTGCTTTGGGAACTGGTCTTCTTGTCTCTTCAAGTCTAGGGTAGTAACAGCTCTCTTGCTGTTTGGGGTAATTGTGCTATCCCTTGTAGTTCCCTTATATCTTGCTCTCCCTTTTAAAAATAAAGCCTCCTTTCATTACTCTAATGTGAGTGTATCACTGTATTTCTTACTGAGACCCTGATCAATACCTCTCTGCACACCTTTCTGAAGCTCCTAGTAACTTATACATGTATTTTTTTCTCAGAATGGGAGTCATATATATGCCATTTTAAAATTACTGTCTTACTAAATTATGAGTTTTTAATGTCTTTGAATGTATAATATACTGTATAATATCCTATTTCATAACCATAGCAGAATTAATTTTAGTATGATAAAATTTCTGAAAATGTTTAAAATGAAATTATGCAGCATATATTATTTTATGTTTGATTTTGTATTCAACTTTATGTTGCTGAAATTCATCCATGTTACTATGTGTAGCAACAGTTCATTCTTATTAATGTATACTGTTCTATTATGTGCATAGATTAAAAATTTCATATCTATTAGACTGTAGTTCCATATATTTCTAAAAGCAAAATGGTAGTTTACTATAGTTAATTTATTCTTGCTCTATATTCAGGACCATTTAGCAATTAAGTTTTGAACATGATTATTCATGTGTTTATTTTACATCATGGAGGCACTAGAAATGCTCTACCATTTAGAAACTATACATTTTTAATAACACCAATTTTACTATTGAAAAAACCATTACAGTCATCATTTTCCTAATTATTAAACATCCTGTTTTATAAATAAAATCTTCTATCATTTATCATTTGAATTACCAAAACCTATGTCCATAGTAATCTTGATTAGATACTTGCTGTATCTGGAGTATAAATTACAGCAATTGGCTATCCCTAAAATGTAGCTTAAATGAACACATACATACTGCCTAGTATATTCTGAAGTATTTTATTTATTTATTTATTTATTTTCAAACAGGGTTTCACTCTGTTGCCCAGGCTGGAGCTCAATGACGTGATGTCACAGCTCACTGCAGCCCCGACTTCCCAGGCTCAAGTGATCCTCCAATCTCAGCCCTTCTGAGTAGCTGGGACTACAGGTGCAGACCATTACACCTGGCTAATTTTTGTATTTTTTGTAGAAATGGAGTTTCACCATGTTGCCCAGGCTAATCTTGAACTCGTTGGCTCAAGCAATTCACCTGCCTTGGCCTCCTAGAATGCTGAGATTACAGGCATTACCACACCTCACCTTTCTGAAGTATTTTAGACTAAAATAGAAATACCTTAATAAATAAGGTAGGAAGGCCTTGAGCACATTATAATCTAATTTTCAAAATACCTAAATCTTTGGGACAAAGTTTTATTTTTCTAACCAAGTGTTTCTTAATGAGTTGTTATTGACATTCTGATGAAATCCATTTTCAAAAAAATCAGCGTGCACTGGGTCACAAATTGAGGACCATTCAGGATCCCTGACCTTGTCCACCAAATGAACAAAACACCTCTTCACCCTAGGGAATGTGACCAGTCAAATTTCTTACACATGGTTCTGGTATAAGGGCGGGGGCGAAAGGGTGAGTGTTGAGAACCACGTATTTAATCAGCTTTTGGTTGAAGTAGGGCATGAAAGAAAGGGGAAGAACATCTAGGGAAATTTAGAACATTATAAGCAAACCACTGCTCTGCCTTAAACTCTTCAACTGCTACCAGTATTTGAAAGCAATGTCAACTGCTGTCTGATGGCTTTTTCAGAAATGTTCTCAATAAGAAATCCAGAACGGTGCTGTAGAATCAGAAGTTTATCTAAGGTACAAAGTCAGGCTCTCTGAAGTCAGAAGAAGAAGGAAATATTGTATGAGGTCAAAATTGTGGCTGACACAGGCCAGGGGATTCCCCCTTAGCTCAGCTAAGCGTGACTTCCGTGATCGAACCTCACCAGAATGCCCCATGCTGCCTACACATTTTGACAGACGTCACAACAAATCTTCAGTTCCCCCCGCCTCTCCCAGGACTCCTCCATTGGCAACTCTCTTCCTACCACCTCTCAGCATTGGTTACCTAACAGAGCAAATAATTTACTTATTAGTTATGGTTTTTATTTACTGTCTGCAAATAAACACCTGCTTTAGTTTATGTTACACAAGGGCCAGGTTGTCTCTTCTTTACATTGATGTATTCTTATTACTTAGAACTCTGTCTGGTACTCAATGAATGCATTTCTCTTTTGTTTTCCTTACTTTACAAGTGAGAAAACTCTGAGTTACTGCCCTAGAGCCTGGGTTAGAAGCCAGGCAATTCTATTTTCAAAGTCCTTTTTCTTTTACTTCCACCTTCCTGCCCTTTCCCTACACTCAACCCCCACCACTCCTCACTCTTCCATAACATCTCATAATATTTCTTTCAGTTTCTGAATACCCCAAACTGGATTAACTGTCCATGGAACCTTATTGTAAGTCTAGCTATAACACTTCTATACACTGTTGTAATTGCCTATTTATTCGTGCTTTTCTCCAAACAGTTTGTAAGTTTCTTGAGACCTGAGGCTTGAGTAGCGTTCATCAGCGAATTTTCAGTTCCCTGCACAGAGCCCAGCACATAGTAGGTACTCAATAAGTCTTTGCTGAATTAATTCATGAATAACATCTACACACTAACATGTTTACCGGGATCTTCTTTGTATGCCCTACATTTCTTTTGGAAGCAACTTTGTGGGAGCAGACGTCGTGTCTAAGAAAAAGCTTAGACTGTAAAAATCTACCCCGTCATTTATCAAGCTGGAATACCAGACACCAATGAAGCACCTACAAAATTAACAGGAATCAATATTTCCTCCAAGACACATTGCTGCTGTAATATGTCCCCTTTGAATGACTGGTGCTTTCTTATACACTGAGAAATTTTTGTTCTCCCAAATCATGGATTATCAAAAACCCTGCTGCCTGAAATCGTATCAGTGAGAAAGACATATTCGTTTCTTGCCTGGAAGATCTAAGTCATTTTGACACAGAAAAGCATTCTTGATTTCTACCCAGGTGCTGAGCTTCAGATAAAGCATTTCTGGATACAGCACTGCATATCTATCTCAACATTTCTGCTGCCAAGGAAGAAAAACTCTGGGTCCACTTTGCAGTGCAGGCCTGATGTTGACCCCTTTATACACGGCTCTGCTTTGCTTTCAGCTTATCAAAACACTAGCTTCTACCCTCCTGCTGAGAACTGAAATAATTCCATCTTTGCTTTTGTATATGGGACACCCACAATTCCTCTGTGTGCAAGTCCCTCATTGCAGTGAATCAAGAAATCCAACTTTGTGGAATTTTACTTGTGTCCCTGGTGGTCTTAGCCTGATGGGGACACTTCTGTGACCTTTCTATTTTCCAGTCCAGTGTTTCTCAAATCAACAGCATAT